CAGGCCTTAAGTTCTGGACCCCTGGTTTCATGTGTTGTCTGAATCAGGGCTTCTGGTTTCTTTGCCAGGAACAGCAAATCAAGATCAAAGCTGCCTTTGCAGTTCTGGCTCATGGAGTGACCAAAAAGCAAGGCTTCTGGCTTAAATGACATACTAACAAACCATTCCCGGTTGCATTAGCAGACAGAAATAACCCATGAACAAACATGCAGCTCAATCACAACTAAGCAGGATTCTCTGGAATCATGGCTTATCATCCTTTTGAGCATGGCCACAGTCTCACCTGCTAAAGAGCTACAGCATGTTGCAGAGGGCTCTTGGGACAAGGCCTGCTGAATCGCATCACTGCCCTGTATACATTGGGTGTACTGTATTATGAGGTCCCAATGTGGTTCTGTGCCCCCCCCCAAAGGGATCTCTGAAACAGTACCTGTGGACATCTACTTTTAAAAATACGCATACTTGACTGAAATACATAAAACTTTCTAGCAATTATACAAAGGCTTCAATGAAAGCTGAATATCCAAATAAATATCTATTTGAAGTTGCCGTGTGTATGTCACCTGTCCATATGCCAAATATGTTGTAAGATCCTCAATCCATCGCCATATAGGAAGTGAGTGTTCTGCTTCCAGTTTTTCAATTTTAGCTGTCAAAGGGCACAGAGAATCCATTTCCCCTTCTATTTCCATAAAGCAGGGAAATAATTTAAAAGCATACACACTGGTGATTACTAAAGAATGGACCAGTACAAAATTTCTGTCTGCTCTCCCCTATTAGTTATTTGAGAGAACTTTTCCAAACTTCTATGAAAATCCATGTTTCTTTTTAAAGACTATAAAGAGTACTAGAGGTCTTTTAAAAGAAACCGCAAGCTCTTGTTCTGTCTGCTATATCAGTCCTGAACACTAGCATCACTTGTAACAAGCAGAAGGATATTTGGGAGACTCATATCTCCCCCTACACTGTTATTTGATTTATTTTTATGTCCATGTCAGCCTTGACTAAAGAAAGGCTAATTTATAACTCTCGCACCTGTACTTTCAGACAGACTCATCATTCACACATTAGAGGGTTTAAAAAAAAAAAAGAGTAAGGGAAAAAAGTATTCCGAGATGGTCATGTCTGGCTATAAATTAAACAATCTTGCTTTGGAAACCTGGTGTCTCTCATTCGTCCCTTCAAAAAATTGATTGGGTGAAGGGATGATAGATTGATTCATCCCCTTGCCTGTTCCCTTGATTTGCAAAAAGAAAAAGAAAAAAACCTCCAGGGTTTCCTTGGAGACTGAAGCATACAAACAGCTGATAAGAAGATAAATCCACTTCTAGATGATACCACTACAGATTCCATCATGGAGATGGGCATGTTTCAATGCTGCTTTTCATACAGATTTTCCATGCACATAGGAAAACTACGATGCTGGGAAAATGTTCTGTCTGTCTGTCTTATTCTCTCTTTCTCTCTTTCTCAATATCTCTGCCATGCTAATTTTCTGTGTGGAGGGACTATATGTGCATAACACAACTTTAAATTATAAATTATGAGAGCCCCCCCCCATCTGCAGTCTCAAGTGGTACAGCCCGCACACCAGATGATTACCACATTTGCTGTATCTATGACAGAGTCTTCCTAAAAATATGTTGGCCTGAAAATGTGCACATCACTCCTGAGGCACAGTTGAGGCCTTTGGTGGTCTAAGCTAGGCTTCCTCCCTTCACACATTCGAAGCCACAGACCCTTCTTGCAAAATGTTCCTTGCAAGGCATTTTCCAGAAGCACAACACCTTGACTGAATCTCTGAACATGCACAGATCGGTCTGTTGCACCCAATCTGGTATTTACTTCTAGGAACCCTTCTTAGGAGAATGTCTTTTGGAAAGGAGCACCTCTCCTTTCTGCACACCAGTCCTCCAGCTGGGCCACCCTCCTCTGCCGACATCACATCACGGGGTCAAGAGCCACACCTGCCTTGTCTGACTCCGAGAAACTCCCTTGTTCCAAGCCCCTCCCGATCACAGTGCGGCTTGGTTATTCCCAGAGGCTGCCTGCTCACCTGCAGAGTCAGGCCTTGAGATAAGCATCTCTGCTTCTCGCATCTCATCCTCTGGGATTGGCCCACAGTCCAAGGCCCCCTCCTGCTCCTGCCCCTCCAAGCCCCAGACAGAAGGCCTTGGGAATGCAGCCCAGAGCAACCACCTTTCTCACTCCCAACATATGGAATGTGTAAGTGAGGTCACAAACCTAGTGGGATGCACCGAAACCCTTGAACCCAGAGTCTTATGGGTGTCCAGTGAAGAGCAGAAGAATTGGCAATAGTGTTCTTTTCCTCTCAGGCTTCCCACTCTGCATTTGCTGGATGAGCTTTTCCACCCAGCTGCAGAATCTTGGAGGGTGGGCAAGGAGGAAGGAGTGGCTGCAGGACCCCATGTAATCTGGTCTTCTCCAGCCTCTTCTGCTCCCCCAAAACACCCTCTTTACTTGTCTCCTGACCTCAGAGAGCAGGTGACATGGGTCTTTCCACACCAGCTGCAAAGGGGTGCTGATTTATTACCCCTCTGAACCTGGATCTCTTAGGTCATCTGAAGAAAAAAGTACCTTTAGATGTTGTCTTGGGGCCACAGGACTGTTCCCTTGGTGGCCTTTCTATATGTGTGCCTGATATGTGTGTCTTGGCTCCTCACAACAGGAATGGAAAGCCAAAGGCCAGTGTGGTGTAGTGGTTAAGAGCATGGGACAGGGACTCAGAGGATCTGGGTTCGAGTCCCCGCTCAGCCATGGAGCCAACTGGGTGACTCTGGGCCAGTCACAGACGCTCAGCCCAACCTACCTCACAGGGTTGTTGTTGTGGGGATAAGATGGAGGAGGAGGAGGATGTAAGCTGCCTTGAGCCCTTGTAGGAAAAAGGCAGGATATAAATCGAAATAATTAAAAGGCCAGGGGGTCAAAGCCAGTACTCCTGGGGTTCCTCAGAAGGCCATTCCTTCTTCCTCTGACCCTTCCCTCTCCCTCAGTTACTAATTCCCTCAGTTGTGGGGTTTTCACTATTTTTCCACAGTTTCTTCCATATTCTAAAAGACTGAACTGTTTCTCCCAAGGCTTAGTTACTGGAAGAAAGAGTTTCAAGCTACAATATGCTTTATTTTTGCTGTCTTAGCCCTGTCACTTTTGCCTTCAGTTGCACTCACCAGCTCCTGGAATGATGCTCCAGAAAGTTTATCTGAAAAAGGATTTGGCCCTCATGTGGAAAGGGCTTCTCCAACTCTTCCCTATGGCTAATTGATTATCTTTGAGAGTGTAATTTCACCAATGGAGGAAGCTAGGGAGAAAAGGAGGCCCTCAAGTGTCAACTTCATAGAAAACTGGACAAGGACTTCCTTTCTTCACCCACCACTGAAGAAATGTATACAAAAATGTACATCAGCCCATTTTAGATGTTTCCTTCCAACCATTTAAGAATCACCCAACCAGCTAATCAATAAATCCGTCAAAGATTATTATACAGGCACAGATCCATTCAGGAAACAAAAGCACAACAAAAACCATCATATTTACTGTAAGTTAAATTACTATGTATACATACTATGTATAGACCAAAATAAATAACCCTAAAGTATCTTTAAGATAACCAGGATGAAAAATACAATTTCATATATTAAATCAAAATATCATAAGATATTAATTATAATATTAATTTTATGATGATTATAATATCACTAATTGAAAGTATAATATATAATGCAGTGGATTAAGATACATGAACTAAAATATACACAATAATGAATGAGGCCTGTGCGCAAAGTGTATGTCTTTGCATGTGGCCCCACCTCAACCTCAGCTATTAGAGGTGGCCCCAGTACCTTCAGCAGCAATACTTTTTCCTCTCCCATCCAGAATGGTCGAGGAAATTTTATTCTATTTTATTTCTCTTCTATATTTTTGGTTTTGGTTTGCTTTCTGAAACTCACAATGAAACTTAAAAAATGATGAAAGAAAGCCTTTGATTCACTAATGCCTAAGATGTGACACATGTCAAACCCTAGTTCTGAGAGAAGTCTTGCAATCTATTTTAATTTTTTATGCTTTAACACACACACACACACCCAAAATAACAGTGTGACAAATGAATGGATAATCATGATGCACTGCTTTAAAAAAGGTGGCTGATTTGAGCAAAGCATGGGTGGAGGGGTATTTGCTATCCTGGTACATATATCTGTTTTATAAACTGAAAAGCTGGCGGTAAGTCAAGAAATGAAGCTGGGAAATGAAGTCACTCAGTATCTGCTTTAACATTATGTCTGCCTTCTGCCAGAGTTTAGTTTACACACATTTTCCCAATAGGAGGAATGTGTGCTGAAACACCCCCACAGAGGTGGGAGGAGGTGAGAAGGGTCAGCTTTGGATATTTTAAACAAGTGTGGAAGAAGCATAATTTGCTATTACATCCTTACATAATTACATCCTTCAGTGCAAGTCTGAAAACTGATGTACGTCCTCCTATAGACAATCAAAATACTGCAACAAAGCATCCACATATGGATATGTAAGTGTGGGCAACCATCAACAACTGCTTTCCCCCATCTGGTACTTCCACAATACGTTGGATTACAATTCCCATTATCATCATCAGCCAGCATTGGTCATACAGCATCTAGAGAGCATCAGGCTGGGAAAACACATTCTATGCAGTACAGCCTCAACAATCCAACAATAAAATCACCAACATTTCCATGACCACAGAAGATCTGTACATCAGCTTCTTACAATGGTACTTCAGTTGGACTGAGGCTCTTCTCCAAGCCTCATCGCATAAGTACATGCTATTGCTGCCCAATCAGTCCAGTCTTACAGGCTAAAGTGGAACACTAAGAAATTAGCTTAGGGTCATAACCCCAGCAGTCATGATTTCTTGGCCACATTTTCCCCATGGGTCAAGCCTAGCCCAGTGAAACTGATCTTCATTTCCCAAAACCAGAAGTCTCAAAATCTGAACTCACCTCGACAAAGATGAAGCATGGGATGATGGAGTAACTTCGCTGTGTGTTGTTCCCCAAAGCCATTTCTCATCATACCCCTCGAGGTTAAGCGTGTACAAAGTAGTTCAAAGCTGACAAAAAAGAAAAACCAGGATCATTTAAGGGAAAGGGGCCGGAAACTGTTCATTTATCATTGACAAGAACGACATGTTTGTATTATGGTGTTGCAGCTCCCTGGAAAGTAAATGGAAAGATCTGAAAGTCTCAAATACTTGCACTTATTTACCCAGAGCCATGTATTTTGACAGTGAGGGCAGCTCTTGCAAGCTTTGCTATCTGAGATCCTGGTGGAGATGCCAAAGTGTCAAGCTGAAAGTTCGAGAATATGCTTCAGGGTAGTTGAGGCTGGTGGCTCCAACATCAGCGGAGCTGGGTAAGTTCAGCACCATGGACAGGTGCTTAAAAGTTCAGCCTGAAGCCTGTTGTAGGTCCATCACTGGAATGACATTTGAGCCACCAGCACCCACTGCTGTAGGAACAAAGGATCTGCCCTACACCGAGTGAGACCATTGGCCCATCTGTAGCACTATACTCTGGGCAAGACTCTCCAGAGGTTCAGGCATGGGAGAAAACCCTTCCTGGAAATGCCAGGATTTGACCTTGGGACCTTCTGCATGCAAAGCATGGACTCTACCACTGAGCTACAGTGCCTCCCTCTCTGCTTCTGAGTTATGGCCATTCTGCTTCACGGTTCCAGGCAAATCCCTTGACTGGCAGCATAGGATGCACCGACTAGACATGGTCCTTATTATTCTTTCTCCTCAACCTTTCGATGAGCAGTAGGCTACCTGGCATCTTTTAGATATTTTGGACTGCAATTCCCATAAGTCCCAGCCAGCATGGCCCGTGGTCAGGGAGTTTCAGAAATACACACACACACACAGTGCCAGGTTGGTAACATGTAAAATAGAATCGGTCCACTCTTGTTATTGCTTCTTACTTGGAAGAGACCAGTGAATTGGCAGTGACAGCGAGGAAGAAGGGGATAACAGACAGGGGGCTTTAAATACCTTCTACTGGACCATGGGCTTTAGCTCAGCCTGGTCAGCCCTTGGATGTACCCTTCCTGGTTTGAGTCCTCCATTAATTCCAACCTGCTGCCCCTACTTAGGGGACAGTCATTTCCATCCTTATCAGGAGCCTCGACCCTCTACCCCTTCACCATGGCTTTGTCCTAAGACAGAGATGGCTACTCACCCCCCCCCCACATCTCTCTGGTGGTCCTATCACATTTTACTCAAGGTGTGGGAACATGCATTTTTGCTCACAGTTCAACCTGAAAAGGTAAAGAAGCAGTGGTTCTCCACAAGCCATTCATATAAATGGGTCAGCAGCACAGAATAACCAGAATGTTAAAGTTGCTATCAAAGCATCACAGATGCCTGGAAATGTGCTCCCCACCGTCAGAATTCCCTGTGATGAATGACAGACTTCAGGGCTAGCAACCTCTGTTTGTCATTGCATTTTTATTTCCCTGGAGTAACTACCTCAAGGAAATTCCTTCTTTCCCTTTTTTACTTCTGTACTAGTGAACATACGATGCAGAAAACACTAGACTTCTAGAATGTGAAACTGAAGACTGCATTTCTCTGAGAGGTATTCAAAAGTTGTGGGTTCAAGTGCTGCTGAAAGAGTCTGGCAAAAAGGGCCGCAGGTCACCATCTTTGTAAATAAAAAGTTCCAGGTGAAATCCTGGTCATCTCTTAGAAAAGGATCTAAAGCGGCTGTCATCTATTCTTTCTTTAAATGAATGGCTAGGAAAGGCATGTGGGACGTCACATTAATGGCTATACTGAGACACACAGAGAGAAAAGGATAGAACTGGAATACATTGGTTTCAAAATGGTCATTTGTTACTAACGTGTTAAATTGGCTCACATCAAATGCACATTCAGTTTTTCCAGTGCTGTAGTGATTTCCGGTTTACTTTGATTGAGTCCACTTTGATTTTGTTTTCCTCGCTTACTACTTTCATTTGATTGATCATACGGCATCACCATCAGCATGATTACATAAGAATATAGGAAGAATCCTGCTGGATCAGCCCAAGGGCCCCTCTTGGCAAGCATTCTGTTCACACGGTGGTCAACGCCCAAGTAGGATAGGAATGCAACCCATGTTCCCCAGCAATGTGTATATAGCAATAATGCCTCTGACACCAGAGGCATCATTGATTTGATTTGATTTGATTTCTATACCACCCGGTAGGTGAAGCTCCCTGGGCAGTTTACAGCAATCCATACAAACAAGACAAGAAAATGTAATCAAACCATCATAACATCAAAGGACCATTAAAACATTTTAAACATGCAACAAATGGTATTTTGGGATGCATTAATAGAATAATCACTTCCACATCATGAGAAATAGTATTCACCTATACTCCTAAGTCAGACCCCATCTAGAATACTGTGTCCAGTTCTGGGCAGTGAGATTTAAGAAAGATGCAGGTAAATTAGAAAGGGTTCAGCGGAGGGCAACAAAAATGATCCAGGGTTTGGAAACACTGCCTTGTGAGGAGAGACTGAGAGAAGTGGGCATGTTCAGCCTTGAAAAGGGAAGCCTGAGGGGGGACATGGTATCCCTCTATAAGTACTTCAAAGGCTGTCACAAAGAGGAAAGTCAAGACCTCTTTCTTTCTTTCTTGATTGATTGATTGATTGATTGATTTTTATCCTGCCTTTTTCCTACAAAGGGCTCAAGGCAGCTTACATCTCCTCCTCCATCTTATCCCCACAACAACAACCCTGTGAGGTAGGTTGGGCTGAGAGTCTGTGACTGGCCCAAAGTCACCCAGTTGGCTCCATGGCTGAGCGGGGACTAGAACCCAGATCGCCTGAGTCCCAGTCCCATGCTCTTAACCATTACACCACACTGGCTCTACCTTGCTGATGCCAGAGGGTAGGTCACGGAATAATCAATTCAAGTTGTGACAACCCAGATTCAGGCTGGACATCAGGAAAGGCTACCTCACTGCCAGAGCAATACGACAGTGGAACCAGCTGCCTGGAGAGGTGGTGGGCTCTCCCACACTGAAGACATTCAGAAAGAAGCTGGACAGCCACCTGAGTGGCATGGTGTGACTTGGCGTCCTGCAACAGCAGGGGGCTGGACTCGATGGCCTTCTTGGCCCCTTCCAACTCTACTGTTCTATGACCCTGTGAAAGAATGACCCTGTAAAAAACACCTGGGATGGGTAGCACCGGGACCAGTAGAAACTGATTGCCTTATCCTCTCCTTTCCTGCAGTAACTACGTATTGTACAATTACGTATTGTAATCTCTAGTTGCAGAGCTGGCTGGGGAAAAAATAACAACCATGTTTTAGAGCCAGGACAGACTCTGCAAACCAGTCGCGCCGTACTGGTGAGTCACTCCATTGGTCAGTCCAGCCAGCACTGGGCTAGACTGACCAACCTTTTCATTGAGCAGCTTCCTCTGTTCATTTCTTCTGCTCACAAGAGTGTGATGGGAGCAAGTGTTGTCCAAACCTTTCACATTCAGTAGAGTGGCCACTTGTGCATACGTATCACTTCACCAAACTGGGCACTGCTGCGCATGATACCTGTATAGGCTCCTTTACATGCACAGATGCATGTTTTGAAATAATAGCGATTATTTAGGTAGAAATACTTTATTGTGAGTGCTGCCATCTAATTTCAAATGATCAAAGGGCCACTTCAAGGCTTCTCCTACTGTCTCTTCTGATGGTTTTTTTTTTTAAACTGGACTTCCACTGGATAAAGAGGGGTGCCTACCCCAATCTAGGACCCCTAAGCCATTCTGGACTGCAATTAGTGATGTTTGCACATTAGCTTTGCTAGGTGGGGCTGGTGGGAATTGCAGTCCAAAACATCTGGAAGGCACCAAGCCGGGGAAGTTTGGATGGGAGGCCTGCCCTCTGACAGCCCTTCAAACAGAGGGCTGTCATCTAGGGAGTAGGATAGACACACCCTATTTCTTAGTCAAACTTGGGATAGCTTCAGTGGTTCTGTGGCTGTTGTGTAATAGAGGTTCCTTGGAGGAATTCCAGGGTCCCTTTGATGTAGGCTCATTCCAACATTTCCCACACGTCCCAGGGCCTACTGAGCCCTGCTCCCTTTGATTAAGAGAACTGCAGCACAGTAAGCCTGGAAAACAAGGAAATGTGGTAACCCGTTAAATAAGGCAATGCAGATTGGCCGTACGGCTGTGGTGAATTCATCAGAGTGAGCTAGTTCCCATCTTGCCTAATTTACCCCACACACACACCTCCTCAAAGCCCTTGAAGCGCAGAGCGAGGGGTGGAGGTTAGCATTGATGCTCTCCTGGGAAATGATACGGAGCGGTGGAATTCATATTATGTGAATTGGAAATTAACTACAAAGGCAGTTAAGAAAAAAGAGTCAGGAAGGCAAACTTCTCACCCTGTAAAGCTTTTATTTCCTTGGGGAATAGGAGGTGGGTGGAGGTGGTTACAAAGTCAAAGAGCACAGAAAGATGAGGGGGAGAGGAAATTTTAATAAGTGGAGATGGGTTGGAGGTGACTGTACAGGAGACAATTGGTTTCTTTTCAAGCTTAAAGTAAAACTGGGTGTTACGGAAGATGCACAAGGGCTACTGCTCCTACCTCATTTCCTGCTCTTTTCTTCCAACAATCATGGAGTAAAAAACATACTTGGGAATAACGGCTTGGTCGGCACAGAATACTAACCCATGGTTTAATGCAGTACTCAGTATGTCTGGCAGGTGATCTAACAAACTGGATTCTTTCCTCAGTCCCTTAGCTGTTTTTCCTTCCTCTTTGCCAGCTCCCTCACGTGTCTGAAATGGCTTTGTGGCAGTGTAGTACTGACATGCAGAATGGTCTTTTTTAATATCTAACTTTGCTCCCCATCTCTTTAGCCTAGCAAAATAACCCATGAACAATCCACGGTTCTGGATTCACAAGGAATGACACTGCATGCTTTAAGCACCTCAAAGTTTACCATCCAACAATGATCCTGGTTCTCTTTTTGGGTTGTTTGTAGTTAATAAATCATGAATTGTTAAAACAACTGCATTCACACATTATGACAACCCATAATTGAACA